CTGAACAACCACATTCTAAGATATAACCTGCTGAATTATTTGGCAGATCATATTTTACATGAAAGCATAGCCGATCACTATTTTTATAAATAAGGCGTTTACTACTTAATAGAAAAAACATTTACCCCCAAGATTCATGTCTCTTAAGGCTTTATTCTTTTTAGAACTAACTTTCGATTTAGAGTGCTTTGTGCCCATGTGATCTAGATGATTTATAAGAATTCTGCTGATTTTATATCTATAGTGCTTTGTTTTTCATAGCGTACAACAATTGTTCTGCCAAACTAAGTGATCAGTTATAAGAAATAGGCTCATTTTATAATCCAAATGAATGTCTCTAATACACTGCGATCTGTTTTCTGATACTTAACAGGAGTTAATGGAAGTGGATTTCAAACTATTTGCAGTTTTTATCCTGTTCTGTTTATTAAAAAAAAAACTTTTTACAATTTTATATCCTATTTTGACTTTGAGTTATAAATTACAAGTTATAATTAAAATGCTTTTAAAGCAATTACTTCATTTTATACATTACAATGGTTTTATTTCGTTACTTAAGTGTAACGTTTTTTGAATAGTATAATACTTATTTTTATAGTTTACTATACACACATACATGCATACATACAGATATATACATGCATTCATGCATACACATATACATACATACATACATACATACATACATACATACATACATACATACATACATACATACATACATACATACATACATACATACATACATACATACATACATACATACATACATACATACATACATACATACATACATACATACATACATACATACATACATACATACATACATACATACACACATACATACATACATTCATACATACATACATGCCTGCATGCATGCATGCATGTATGCATACATACATATTAACATACAGACAGACAGAAAGTCAGACAGATATAAAACCTTTGATAATTTTTGTATGTTTTATATAAAATATAAATACCTTAAATCCCACTAAACTAAAACTACACTAAATAGGAACGAAAGCCATACTTCATTTTTGTCTGAAAGTTTCATGTCACCCACGGATAGTTAGCATATGTTAGCCATATAAATACCACTCTCCTTTATGGGATTTCATTGGTGCATTCTATATGTGGCTTTAGTGTTCATCTCATGAAAACCACACTTAACAAGAACAAAAGCTGCATTATTTTCCACAAGAAAGTTATAACAAATACATAAACAAATCTTCTGACTTGTTTGTATCATATTTAAACAAGTCAGTAGTTTTTTTTATGTATAGAATATACAACTAATTATACATATAAATCTATACAAATAAGTATCATACTGTATGTATACTTATTTGTATAGAAATACCAGTTAAAAACTTAAATGGAAAAGCATTATACTTTTTGCTTTTATTTATAATTTTATTCACAGATAAATATAAACGTACGACAACTTTTCATTAAGTTTTAAAAAATCTTTATGAATTAGTGCACACAAAACTAATCTAATCAATTATGCAATGTCCCAATATTTTCTTCAAATTCTTTATCTAGCATTCCTACAATGTCTTTGACCAGTAGCTAAAGATTTCATATGAAATCCATGTACAAAAAAAATCGAGAGAAAAAATCAATAATAACGAAAGCTTGCTTACATTGCCCACCATTTTAAAATTTATTGTTGTTTTCTTGTAGCAAACGCAACGTGCTAAGATATTTTTATCTTCGTTGAGTACAACTCATATTACAATATTTTTTCGATAAGTACTAAACTCTGTTTAGAATATGTATAACTTAAGCAGGGCCGTCGCAAAGAGATTTGAAAGGGGGAGTGATATGTCTGTTTTTTGCCAACTAAAGCCAAAAAATTTATCTTAAAAAAAAAAAATAAGATCCTCGTTTTACCAAAATTTGCTGACTGCCAACAATAGATCCAATTTTGCCGACTCCAGTTCCAATTTGCTGACCGAAAATCTTCGTAGGGGGGCTAGACACCCCCTACGCCCCCCTTTCTGACGGCCCTGAACTTAAATATAAATCGTTAAGTATAACAACAAATTTTTATTCGTTAAGTGTAAAATTGATTTACAAATTTTATTAAAAGTTTATTTTGAACAACAATTTTTAAATATATTCATTACAAAACTGCTCAAACATACTTACAACTATGAATTGAAAATTACCAAAACTGTAAACCACATGATCTCATGGAATATTCCAGAGTTTACAACAATGCATTGCAATGGAATTGTACTTTACAACTGGTTAAAATTTAAGTTTCAAAATGAGTCAAGATTGTGTGTTTCATTATCTAAAGCCAATTTGATAGCCGCATCTAATTTAGTACGTATTTATTTATAGATGATACCATACTAAGTGGAATAATAATATGGATGCATTATTTGTCCTCATGAGGGCCATACTGATCATTAGCATTTTTATCAATTATCTACTGAAATATAGTTTCAAACTTTTAATCCACTTGTAAGCACTATGGCCATATTTGGGCCATATATCTTTCTTGTCGAGTCTATACAAAAAATCCTTAAATTTAATGAAAGTTATTAAAACTTATGTCATAAGACATTGTATACTTACCTTAAATAAGAAAAAAAAATTTAAGTTAAGCATAATTAATGAAGGCAAATAAAAACTTTAAAATGTTTAAATGGGGAGGACCTATTAGTGAAAAGGATGCCCGTTTTTGAACAAAATTTAAATATCATTAAAACCATAAATTGTTAACAAAAAGGAACAATATATCTTTTGAACAAATTTTTTTTAAAATTGACAAAATTAGTTTGTTAACAAAGAAGGTTATATAATGTATATAAATATTTAATGAAGTACATATCTTTCCAATAAAATCTACTAAAGATTACAAATGTTAAAAAAAATAATATATAGTAAAAACTTATATATCTTTTCAACATTTTTTTTAAACAAATTCTTCCAACAATATTTTTTATCGTGTTTTACGACTACACTAACTACCAATAGATTTTTTTTATGTGTTTCATCATGACAGTACTCCACTTTACTGGTACGGACAACATTCTTGGTCTTAAAAATGTCTAGTTACATTATAGCAAAGAACTCCATTTGACTAGCAATATTGACACTCTTATTGTAAGCTAAGCCAAGTCACAACAATTCGAAACCATGCAAGCAACATGATAACCACTTAAAACTATAAACACATAACATTATAACGCATTAGAAACATAGAAAAACTTCATGTATAAACGATATTTACACACTCATTAAATATAAACCTATATAACCTTAAAACAAATAAAAACATAATAAATAACACATAAATATATTAAATATATAAATTTACAAAAATATATAAGTTTTAAATAGATTTTTTAAAATTTCTTTAAAAGGTATTAAACGATCTTGTTCTTGAACATGCAACATAGAGTTGACCCTGGGAAATCCAAGAATTTTGGAGAAACACCACCTTTATCAAGAGTTTTATCTTTTGACACTTTTAAAAAAGCATCTTCTTCTAGAGTGTTCTAATTTTAAAATAATCGCCATCTAATTTAAATAAAAAATTACAGATTATTATAACTAAAATAAAAATTAAAAAGTTTTTGATCTTATTTTTAATTTAGCAAATATTACCAAATTATAAAGATTCAAGAATACCTTATCGCTCAGTCAAAAATATTAAAAGGCGAGACATCTGTGTCAAACGCTCTCAAATAAGTAACAGCGTTAAGCTCAGCAATAATATTCGCAATGTTAGGCTCAGCCATGATATTGTTGATTTGACATATCGCTACTGTTTTGGCAACAACACGTAACTGACAATCAATACATTTTTCAGGAGCAACTAAAAACTAATTTATTTCAGTTTAAGACATTATTAGGTAATATTTTTAATTCATATAGTTATACTTTCAGATGCTATTCTATTATATAACAAATTTTATTAATTTTTGTGGTTATTCATTTTTTTATTGTAGTTACGGGTTATTACATTTTAAAAGTTATATACGTGGTATTGTTACTTGTAGATACGTGTTTTAAAAAATATTTATTTGTTAACTTACGTGGTATTGTAACTCTATAAAATAATTTTTTAGATATTAAGTTATACTAGGTATTGTATTTTTTCTTAATCACAATCTTTTATTAAGTTTATTTGGGTGTAGAATAACATAAAAAAATAACAAAATAAAAATGACAACTTATGAGATTTCAACAAAATAAAATAATAATAACTTTTTAAAATAACTAATTTTTCAACTTCTTTAAATCATAACAAAATAAAATTATAATTAATAACTTTTTAAAATAATATAAAATGTTTTTTCTTATTACATATTTAAAAAAAACCAGTCTCATTGTTTTCATTAAAATCGCAAATTATAGTATACATACAAATAGTTAACAATAGGTAACAATGTTATATTCCTTTGTTTTTTCTTTGTTTTAATGTGTCTGCATGTGGTAGACTGTCATAAAAAGCATGGTGTCAACAGGCAAGACATGCTTAAGGTTCTGTAAATCTCTCCACTTGGATAGAGTCAATGGAATTTGTTTTGCATGCAGCTTAGGATAATGTTCTATAAGCTCAAAATGTTTGTTTCTTGGTAATGTTAATGGTAAATAACGTGAATCATTAAAATTAAGTTTATAATAGATCATTTGAGTTTCAGGGTCATATTTAAGCGCTCTGATGTCTCTAACTTCAGGATCGCCCTTTTCTTTTCCTGGTCTGATTGATTTATATGTTTGGTTTATTTTATAGCCATTGAAAAATGTATGATCAAGTAATGTTGCTTGGTATAGACAAGAAGTGGTTCTAGCTTCTTAAGTTATTCTTACATAATCTGAAGGAAGATGAATGTCCTTGTTTTTTAACTTGCGCTCTATAGCACTATGTACACTATCACAGGGCATTTGGGTGTGACCTTTAACTAGGAATTTTTGTTTAATAACTACATTATGTTGGACAAAAAAATTTAAAAGTGCCTTTGATAAAATGGTCAATATTAATACAATAGGTTTCAAGATGAGATAACAGAATACTCACAAAAACTGATGCATCTAACTCTCCCTCACATTTATTCCACCAATAGTTGTGACATTGGTGTTCGTTGTTTACATTATATATTGTGAAGTTGTGAACTTTGAGCTTCATTGAGTAATATAATGCACTAGCATTCATGGCTGGACACAATTTAACTGCCTGAAAGTCCATATTGAAAGTGTAGTTTTCTTGGTTATTTGCTTTTTCAGTATCACTTTCTAATTGTTCTCTGGCTAGATCTTTATTTAATATGTGTTCCTGATACTCATTTTCTGTTACTTGATTTGTTTTATATGAACAGCACAGATCACATTGATCTTTCCTGGGTTTAAAGATGGAATATTTTTTTGATTTATAAATTTGTTAAAGCATGCTCTACTTACTGGTGTATATTTTACATGTTTCGCTTCTTGGACATATAAGCTGTATAATTGTTGCTTTGATTCAAATGGTCCTTATAAGTAAAGCCGTTTAGTTCTTTTTCTACAATAGTGGCTTTTTATTTTTGGAAGTTTATCAAACCACTTAATAAAATGATCATACTTTACTGTAAATGCAATTTTGTTCATTTGTTCATTAGTTTGAGGATCTTTATTTTTGACATTTTTTTTATATACTTTAGGTTATTAGATTTTTTTACCCAGTTGTGAACGATCCATTCGTTAAATCTAATGTTGCCAAAAACATTTTTTTACATACACGAGTTTTTGTTTCATTAATATCTCTTAAATCATACTGGTATGATGAAGATCGTCCATTTTTTACTTCATATTTTCCTGTATTCTTTCTCTTGGTATCTTCTTTTGTTACTAAATTTATAATGTAAGTCTTTTTTTTGTCCCAAGTTGTTGCCCAAAAGCAATTAAACAAATTCAATCTGTCTTCCTCAGTTAGTTTATTGCATTCCTTTGATTTAATACAAACAGTAGAATTACAGCGAGGCTTGATTTTTCTACAATCTCTATTAGTATCTTGAAATACATTTTTTCCCAATCTACGAAACCCAATATAATTTTGGCCAAACATTCTATTCTCCATTGCAGTAGGACGTTTCTTTAAATTTTTCTTATTACTTGGGTCATTTGTAATATCACTATTTACTTCAATATCATCTACATTCAAATCTGTGTAAGAAACTAACAATCAAAACAAATCATTTTCTACACAATATACAAAAGTCATGGTTATTTTAATTTTGTTTGTTAGACATTACCTTGGTTAGCTCAGCTGTTGAAGTTTCTAAAATATTAATTGTGTTACAGTCACCATCATTATTGCAAGTTGTACCAGTTTGTACAATTTCAAACATTTCAATAGCATCAATGTCTATATCCAAACAAGAAACTAAAAATAAAAATATAATGCCCTCAATTAATTTCTATATAATGCTAAAATTTATAAATAATATCAGAGTATGTAATACAATAATATTTTTTTTTTAGCTGTATCATTTTGTAAAATGTCAAACTTTTCAACTCCTTCAATGTCAGGAAAACAGGAAACTAAAAAAAGAAATTATTATTATTCTGTCTTCAATTAAACTATATAATATGCTAAAATGTATAAACTTTATAAAGGTGGATAATAAAATAATATTTTTACCTTTAGCTGTAGTATTTTTGATGTCATTATCTTTAATAAAAGATGCCATAAACTCATCACTTTTCACAGGGGAATTATCTTCAAACAGTTTATTATATTGTGCATGTTGACAAGGATTTTTAACCAAATTGACCATTGCATGTGCTCGTTTTCGATGTCATATTGATCTAGGTGCATTATACATAAAACGACTATAAATAAAATGTCAGTGTCATGCAGTGTACACTATTTTATTATTAAATCTATAATTTCGAAAATAAAAGATACAAAATATATAATACCTATTAACTTAAAATGCAGTCCACAGACTAATGTTTAAAAAAGGCATTAATGCCTATAATGGCAGTATTGTATTGCTATTTTAGTAACATATCTGTCTTGCAGTTACGTGGTTTTAAAATCAAATATTTGATAAGTGGTATCACTCAAACAAGTTTTAGCGGGAAATAAATGATAATATGTTAAACTAACCTCAATTAAATTATATTCTCCTTGAAAATACGAATCCAATGATACCAAAACGTCAATTTTGAAAAAAACGTCAGATACGAGCTATTGCCAAATCAGTAACGATATGGTAAGTTTAGCAAATTTTTCAACCATTTTAACCATTAAATCAAGCTCCCCTTCCTCTAAATGACAAGCGATTGTAAAATGATTGTAATGATAATTGAATAATACGACGCTTTTTATAATCATAACTCTACACTTTTGCAAAATGGCGGATTTATAATATAGCCATCCCTAATGTACAACAATTCTGCCGTCCTATCTTATTGTTACGTATTTCTTCATGTCCGTTTTTTTAAACACCTTAACTAAGACAGCAAGCAACCATTATTAGAGACGGAAGTTACTAGAAGAGAAAAGATGAAGTTTATAAAGCAAGACTTCAATTAACAGACAACTTTAAAGATTACAAATTATATGAATCAGGAAAACAAGAAGAACGCAACAAATTCCAAAGAAAGCATTTCTGAGGAAAGAAACTAGATAAATAAGTTCTTGGAGCACTTAAGAACAGCCACAGTAAAATAATCACACCTAATTAAATGAGGAGTAAAACGAGAATAAATTTTTGTAGATAGCACAAGAGATGCTAGCTTTTTAGACCAGCGCTCGTTTATAGTATTTATAGAGAAAAAGAAAAGCTTATGACATGATGACAATGCTTGAAAGCTGTAAATGCAGTCCTAACTATGTTTACAATGCATTTTTGCAACTTGTCTGAAGAGAAAGGGCGTCAATTAAAGATTCGCTCCAGGCATGGCAACAGTATGGTGGAACTTGAAAGGATTTTAAATGTCGTGTAAATGATTCGGATTGCCCGGAAAGCGAGTTTGGAAATTGACTATTTTAGTTAGAGATTGAGAAATGCAAAAGTTGTGGGCCTTAACACCTGCAGAGTCATTGACTTTAAAGCCAAGCCATTTAGTGTGATTAGCATTAAAGTTACCAACAACAACGATATTGGCTGGAAAATAAAGAGAAAGAGCTTGGTCAATTTGATCAGAAATAACATCCAAAAGAGTGCAGTTTTGAGATGAAGGAGAGCCATATAAAACATAGCGAAAGGCGATAGAGAGAAGCGATGCTAAACGAAAGCACATAAAAGAATGTGACAATTGGAGTCTTTATGAATTAAAAGAAGATAACCATCAACACTAAAATTACAGGATGAGACAGCTAAACTTAAATTAATCTCACAAAGAGCGAGTAGGACTTGTGAACTTTGCAGCAGATAAAAATTAACAGAGGAGAAGTTATTTCGAAGATCACAAATATTAGCGAATAATAGATATTGGTGATGACAATGGTTTTTGGATTTTTATAGTTTTTGGTACTTTAGTCATTTAAAAATTTGTTAAAGAACTTGAATTAAAGCACAGATAGTACTTAGTACACTATTCAATAACCCAAGCAATTGCCTCCATACTGATAATAAACCCTAGCCTGTAACAAAGGGCTAAATGTGGCCACGACAATGAACACCAAAACTACAAACAGAGACACCATCCGTGCACAACATAGCAATGATAATACTCTGATATTTTACAGCTGTTGATGGAATCGGACTCTGTGAGAGCTAACACAGAGTTCAAGAAGCCTGATTGCCAACCAGCCTCAGAACCATAAAACATAGTTTTGAGCTATACTCTCAATAGGAGATAATGGAATCAGTTGCCTAGTTGTTATAACAGAGACACAAGCAAAACACATGCATTGAGTTAAAAAGATCCAGCATTTGACATCCTAAACTATTAACAATGTGTTATAAATATATCTGCCTAATAGATAAAGAAGGGGTGCGAGGCTGGTCAACAAATAGAATGTGTTTACCTTTAAGTATTTCCCTTTTGTGCCCACTTCAATACTCATCATTTAAAAATTGAAAAAAAAAATTTCAATTACTTTAACACTTTCTGATGTGGAATACACCATATGTATGTATGTATGTATGTATGTATGTATGTATGTATGTATGTATGTATGTATGTATGTATGTATGTATGTATGTATGTATGTATGTATGTATGTATGCATTTATGTATGTATGCATGTATGTAATAACTAAACCTAAAATTAATATTAAAGATAAATGGTTGCTAACATTTGATTTTTGCTAAAGTTATATTCCGTCGTGAATATTATTGTAACTTGTCGGGATAATTAATTTTCCTGCTTTCAATTTGACGTCAGATAGATGTTAAATAACGCCGCTCTAGCTTAAAAATATAATTTAACTTTTTAACTTTAGGTAAAATCAATATCGTTGTTATGATTATATATCTAAGTAATTGTTTATGTATTTTATCTAAACGCAAATATTAATTCAATACACAGATTTATATTCTTAGTTCAGTCCCGCAAATTATCTCAAAATTGTTAAAAAAGTAAACATTTCTAGAGTTAACATTTGAGAAAAAATTTGAGAAGCAGAATATGACATTACTTTGATATAAAATCTTTGATAAAAAAGTTTTGTATTTAACTTCAAACCGTAAGTTCGAAAAGTTCATCTAACTACACGATTTTGTGATAATTTACGGAAAGGAAAAGGATTATAAACTCGTATATTGAAAAAAAAAAAAATTTGTTCTGTGTTATACTTCGGTGTAAGCGAGAAAAATGCTAACTACAGTAAAAGAATTGAACCTGTCGTTTTGAAAACGACAAATGTCAAAAATCATACCTTATTGGTAAAGAATTTGTTTTCCAACAAGATTGCGATCCCAAATAAACAGCTAAAGTCATGAAAGAATATTTATAGAATAAATCTAAATAACAGTAGTACAGTTGATTGCAGTCGAAGAGAAAAAAAACTTATGGACATCACTTTAAAATAATTGGAGTGCTGTCAATGAATTCATAGCTTGATTAATGGATTCATGTTTGATAGATATTTCAACTGGTGTGTAACAAAATGTCTTGTATTTGCCAGAAGCGGTCATATTAATGAAAATGCAATTTAGTTTAAAGAACCTAATATTAAGTAAAAATTTATAGTTTCTTGCATAAAATTTGAGTAAATTATAAAATAAGTAAATAAAATTATACATTTTTGTAGTTGTAGTCTTTAAAATAACCCAAATAAAGTCTAAGTTTAATTTAAATTCTAACTTTTCGCAAAGTGTAAATAAACTAATGGACGATATATATATATATATATATATATATATATATATATATATATATATATATATATATATATATATATATATATATATATATATACATATATATATATATATATATATATATATATATATATATATATATATATATATATATTTATATATATATATTTATATATATAATAAATTTTTATATATATATATATTTATAAATATATATATATAAATATATATATATATATATATATACATATAAATATATATATATATATATATATATATATATATATATATATATATATATATATATATATATATATATATATATATATATGTGTGTGTGTGTGTGTATGTATATATAGAAGAGCACAAATGGCACACAGTATTGTAGAACATCAAATCGGTCAGGTGAGTATTCAAACTAACAATCTTATGGTTCATAGTTTGTACGGATATTGCTTGAACAATTTAACTAGTCTTAAAAGCAGTGGCGGGCACATAAAATACTTTGGGCAAGTCCAAAAAGCAGCTAACTACCTCCTCCCCTTATTTGAGTTTCGACCATTTTTTGGCGGATTGAATGTAATTTATAAAATGTTTCACAAAGATGTGTGGCTATAAAAAAATGACTTACTATTGACTGGATTAAGTTGAAACTCACAACAATTCTAAAAGTTGCTTGAAACTGATGCAGCAAGTATCGTTGAATGTTTAAATGTTCAAGAAGAACTTTTTAACAAAAAAATAAGAACTTTCTTCGATTCTCAATAGAAAGCTTTTTTAAAGAGATTTTTTTTAAGAGTTTTAAGCAAAGGAGCGGTAAAAACAATAATAATAATATTAAGGTAATGAACAAAAAAAAGAGCCTATACGTATACTTGCTCTAGTGTAAGAGTCTATGACGTAAATTGCTCAGATAAAAAAGCGTAAGAAAGAGCTAAAGAATGCACCGCTATCAAACCGCTATCAAAGTTGGAACCATTTGCAACCATACTTAAGAGCAAACCAGCTAAGGAAGTTCAACAACGCCAACAACTAATCAACATCGTCAGAGCTGATCCTAAAAATTGGCAAAATCAGGCATCTAATTTCATAATCATAGTGCTGTCAAGATTATACAAATATGACAATACAATAGCCACAACCAAGTTATAATTATATATAATATACAATAGCCATAATTGGTTTCTCCAGCAGAGTAAAATCCAGAAAGATAAACAACGCAGTTTGTAACATAAGGTCTCTTTAATAAAAGAACTGATCTTAATCAGAAGTGATTCAGACCACAATATTACGAAATTTAAAGGAATATTCTGTCGTGACGATCAAACTCGCTCACAACAGGAAGAATTCAACGAGCTACAAAATAAAAAGAAGAAACTTTAAGACGCACATCACGCTGTATTTTACAAATCGTTTTGGAATTTTATCCACAAAAGTACATGAAAATCTGCTACATTAAATATTTCTTTGTCTATCCAGCAAGCACTTTTGCACAGTATTCTAAGCGTCTTCTTTGTAACAGTGCAAATTGCAACCACATAAAAAGAACCCAGTTCCAAAGATCAAGCCAAAATGTAAATTTAGTTTGACAAACAACTCATTAAAAGACTTGCAGTTACAGGCTACTCCGTCATAATCAAAGACACCTTTGACAAACTTATTCCGTTTCTGGGTCAATAACCCACGCTCATTAATCAGCATAAAACGCAATGATTTTATAGCAAGACCTTGCTTTATTGATAAATTTAAATGGCCACACGTAAAATTTTTTTGAAATCTAGTTAAGCGTTTTATCATACACTACCATTACTGGCTAGCAGAAAATTAAAACAGCCAAGATGGTAGAGGAGGTGATGTTGCAATCTACATCATAGATGGATTCGCTAACAGTGAAGTAACGGACATCACACTCACCTCGAAGTCTGTGGAACAAATCTGGCACATAATCGATTTCAAAAACGAATCAATACTTCTTGGTTGCATGTATCACCAAATAGATAAATAACACGCTCACTCAATCAAGATTCTTACCACTTTCATATCAGTGCAACAAGTATTGACAAAATTAAAGTATTCAAAAATGCTCTTGTATAGTGATTTGAGTTTTATACACAGCAGTTAAAAATTATGCGATGTTGGTGGTGGTATAGCAACAACCGCTTCATGTAGTTGACCAAAATCCCCGGTTATATCAAGTTCCAAGAGTGTCTTAAAGACTACATTTAACTCGACTTGTAACATTCCCAATGTAGCGCAACAACATACTTGCAATACCAAGCAGCACGCTTGACCTCCTCATCATCATTAATTCTGATAGCCTATTGATAATACTCACTGTTTTTTTGCTGAAGATTTCAACAAAAACAGACTAATATCTCCGAGTCGCCGTCGGCTCACCTGGAGTAAAGCAAATTTTGATGCATGAATATCAGCACATATAACTTCTAAATTAATACCAAATCTCTCTGTAAATAATATGTACAATTAATTTATCTACATTTACATCAAACCTGTAAAATTGCATGTGTCATCAAATATGACTCCATTTAAAACTAAACAAGGTTCTTGGGTCACACTAAAAGTATTGGAAGCAGTAAAAGCACAACGTATTATTCGGCAAAAATACGTCAGGCTGCTTGCAAAATCGTGACTAATGTGGTCAACGCGGTTGTTCTTCATTTCGAATAACAAATATCAAACAGTTTCAAGGATTTCCCAAAACGTCTCTACTCACACGTAAAAACAAATTTATAGTACATAATCTTATTAGTATGCATAATCTTATTAGTATGTAACAATCGATGGCGATATCATCAAAGATTACAAAATTATAAGTTGAACGATAAACAACTATTTTCATTCAATTTTTGTTGAAGAACAACTATACCAATACCTATACTAATATTTTAAGAGAGAAAAATGTGAACTTGCAAAATGGAAGAAAGTTTATTTACAGTAACTGCAGTACAAAACTACTTATTAAACCATTACAAAACTAAACCTACGGGACTTGACGGATTACATCCACGTGTTTTAAACAACTTTCGCAGCACCTTTTACACTCATTTTCAGCCAATCTTTTTAAACTCGGAAGGCCAGATCTTTGACAAAAATCAAATGTTACTCCTATCTTCAAGAAAGTAAACAAGCATGTTGTATACATCACAAAGGTTGATTTATAAACCTGATTGAATCCCGTCACATTCTCACTAAGGCTTACCGTGGACACCTTGTTGTTTTTACCAACTTTTACATAGCATTTGACGCAGTGTAACACAAACGGATACTCCAAAAGATTCATGCCTATGGGATTTGAAATCAGATATTACTCTGGGTCTCTGCTTGGCTAAGTAAAAGAAAACAACTAGTAGTTATTGGGGAACAAATGCCTGAATGCAAAAGAGTGTCAAATGGAGTCCCTCAAGAATCAGTCCACAAGAACAGAACCACTATTATTTGTGCTCTTTGTCAATTACTATCCAGACTGCATTAGTAAACATACCAAATTATACGCCAATGATATTAAAATTATAGGAGTTATAAATATCAATCAATCAAGTGCAGGTTAATATTGAAAGCGCTTTAAATTGTTCACAAAACTGACTTATGTACTTTAACATAGAGAAGTGCTAAGTAATTCACGTAGCAATTGTCGCAAAAACAAACCAACACATATTTATAACACATACATGACATGTAATTAGTCATCTCAAGAAGAAATTTAGGTGTCGTAGCGTCCAGTTCTGAAAAACACTGTACCAGCTATACTTTCAACCACATCTAGAGTTTAGTGTGCAAGCCTTGTGTTTACATCTTAAGTCGGAAATCAAAAGAGCGATTACAACAAAGGCTATATTGTTGATTAAACATTTTAGTTACGAAAAAGGTACAAATGTTTGGTCAAACCACACTCGAAGAAGGCAAAACTCGTAGTGAACGTATACTGCAATTAAAAATTGCTTATAAATTACAAGAAGTTGAATTTTACATTCCACATATACAGCCTTTCTAACTAAATTCAAGATATAAATTGAGGAAACAAATGTTTAATTTTTTATATACAAACTTTCGAATTGATTTTATTAATTTTTACAAGATAGTTTTTAAAATATTAATTTAAATCAACACATTTAACTTTATAGACAGTACACACATATACACACACACACGCACACCTACACACACACACACACACACACACACACACACACACACACACACACACACATAAATGTCATAAAAAATTACAATTGTTTCAATACAAATAACAATAATAAAACGTGTTTAATATATAAATCAGTAAATAAAACAAAGTTTTAAAAGCAACAAACTTTGCAATTTTTGCAGACATGGTCTCGTTATCAAGAGTGTTCTAGAGAGGTGGTTTCTAATTATTTAAAAGTTAACAATTTTTAAATAATCATATATATATATATATATATATATATATATATATATATATATATATATATATATATATATATATATATATATATATATATATATATATATATATATATATATATATATATATATATATATATATATATATATATATATATATATATATATAAAGTAAGTTAATGTATTCTACAATTAGAGTGCTC